CGTCCGGGTTAGACCGGAAGAACTCCCTCTTTAAAAAGGAAGGCCCTGCCTCAACAACCTGGGCCTGCATTGGAGCCTGAACTGGATTCTCAGCTCTGAGAATACCCATAGACTCCCTCAAAGCATCGGCTATTCCTCGGGCTAAAGCGCCCATAGCCTCCTAACCTGCTGGCTCGGCCACATTGGCCTGGCCAACCCCCTCCCGCTGTGCCGGAATATCATCCGGTAAAGGCATCTCCTGCCTACCACGCCTGCCACGTCTACCACCTCTTCCTCGTCCTGACATCCTAATAAAGGTAACGAAGAACATTAGCACATTCATAAACGTGCCGAAACTAAACACTCACGTCCTAATACATGGACAATTGTAATTCACTCCACGTAAGCACATAAACACATAAGCACTTACGAATTTCGTTTCCAGATAATGATAGTCCCTAGGCGTTACTAGAGTTCCGGTTAGAAACAGTATTGATCAAGTACTTTTCCAACAAGACTCACAGAAACCCAAGGATCCAATCAACATCCTAGAAACTAAATCCTATACCCAAGTAGTCACATAAACATGTTATCACATAAGCATATAACATTGCACATAAGTCTCTAACAAGCGAGACAAACCCATTGTGATACTAATCACTTCCCACGTACCAAAGTATTCAAACCCGGTACGCTTTGATACCAAGTTGTAACGCCCTCAAAATAATACATAAAACCCATCATTCTTGACATGCAACAATATAAGAGAAATAAACATCTTTCTATTTATCAGAGTAGTTCTTACAAAAAGTATTACATGTTGACAACAAAAGTAAACGCCCTATGGGGTTACAACTTTCCAAGCCAACACTTGGTTACAAGAAATGAGTACTAACTCATATACATATTAAGCCCTTGGCTTGAATTTACATGTAATACATCAAAGGAAAGCAAAACGATCAAAAAGTCTCACTGCCTCTAGCCTCCCAAACTATGCCCTTGGAGGTGGCATGCTACCTGTACCTGAAAATGATGTCTTATAAAGGGTGAGCCACAACCCAGTAGAAATATACTAAACCAACTATAAACAATGACAAAAATAACAGCATTCGATAGATGGTCCACACTTATATTCCCACTTATAACACATCACAGTTTCATGACATTCAAGTCCATGTTACATTTCATTTCCCACTCCTTTTCAACTTTGAGTTTGAAAACATGGCTCAGAGCCTAACCAAATAACTTAATGAGATTATGACTCATCATTAAAACACTTTTGAAATTCATGATGGATATACATTTTGGTGCTGCATCAATAACACATAAACCACTTCCATACTTCATGAAGGATACACATTTTGGTGCTGTATCAATATAACATAGAAAAACTTCTATACTTCGCAATTGATAACGATATACATTTTAGTGCTATATCAAATCAATTCAAACACCTCCATAATCCATACTTGATACACATTGTAGTGCTGTATCAATGTCAAACAAAATCCGGTTTAGAGGTCTATCCCCTATCTTTCCATAAACTGTGGAATACATCCCCTATCTCCTCCCACACAACACAATGTATATAAACAATTATCATATACATAATCAATCAATACATAAGGTTAATGTATTATTCCAACCGTCATATTCGATGACACATTCAATTGATTAGTTTTAGTTTGCCTAATCATCATGCATTGTCTACAACAATCAAGACTATCCTCCACCGATAGTCCAAAGTAGTTATTTCTAAACAGAAAATAAATGCATCAAATGGATATAATATCGACATTTTGACTAGGTGAGTGATGACTGATCCAACTACACCCTTTAATCCCATACATTCCCAATTTCAACATTCTCAATTCAATTTCTAATTTCTCACAATTAATTTTACAAATTAATTTATCAATGTAATTAGGGCATTTCCCATAATTAACAAAACAACCCTAAGGTTCCATTTCTATCAATAACCCAACATTTACCTCAATTCTCCATGCTAAACATGCATATAAGTTTATATAAGTAAACCCCCTTCTTTTGTAAAATTACATAAAGGCCCAAACTTTCTCAAAATTACCCAACGATCCCCAACATATCAAAATGCTAAAATTTAAAGACAAAGCTCATAAAGAGGAGTAGGATATTCCTACCTCGAAGTTAGAGCTCAATTGGAGAAGATGAAGGAAACGAAAATGCTTCAAACACCAAGATTCTCGGATCAAAACGTAGCCCTCAACGATCAACACACTTTTTACAAAGGCCAAAGGATAGGGAGATACTCTAACTAGATCAAACCTTAGAGAGAAGGGAGATCCTAGAGAGAGAGGCTCTCAAAATTGATTTTGGAAAAGTAAGAGAGAGAAAGGAAATGTAAAAAGTGATTTAAAATTACCCAACAGATGACTCATATACGTATGACCCACTCGAGCGTAGAATAGAACGTTCGAGCGTAAAGCACAAAAATCTAGACCCGCTCGAGCGCAAGAAGGTCCGCTCGAGCGCGAAGAACTAGTCCGCTCGAGCGTAGATTTTCATCTCCTAGAACTTTTCTGAAAAGGAACTACCCGCTCGAGCTCCCACAAGCCCGCTCGAGTGCGACCCGCTCGAGCGCGACCCTCTCGAGCGTAGAAAACACACCTGCAGAAATTTTGCAGGGACACGAAATACTGGAAGGGTGTAAACCACGCTCGAGCACAAGAAGGCCCGCTCGAGCGGACAACCAACTACCAAACTTCGCTCGAGCGCAGAATGATTCGCTCGAGCGTAACACCAAAAACCTGAGCAACTACACTTGAGACCAAAACTCAACCTACCTGTTCAGAACACGCCCAACACATCCTATAACTCAAATACAAAGTACAAAAGGATGTAAACATGATATAAACAACTGCTAACATCCACGGAACCAAGTCCGGATCACTGTACAACAAGGGGTAAAACTCAAAATCTCTATAGCGGCCGGCAGGCAGCATCGGTAGTGGTGATAGTAATGATAGTAGCATGGTGGTAGTAGATTGTTGTGGCCTTAGTGGTAGTGGTAAGGTGATATTATGATTGCGATGGTGGTGGCAGTGACGGCAGCCAACGTTAGTAGAGTGGTGGTTCTCGTGATGGTGATGATAGTGGTGTGATATTTATGAAGGTGGTGGTAGTAGTAGTAGTAGTAGTAAGGTAGTGGTTGTGGTGGTAGAGGCAGTAGTAGTAACGTGAGTGGTGGTAATATGGTGGTGTGGTGGTTGAGGTGGCGATCGTGGTGATGATGGTAGTGGTGTTGTGGTGGCAATAGGGTGGCAGTGGCAGCGGCGGTGACAGTGATAGGAGAACGGAATGGTGATAGTAGCTAAATAATAATATATTTTGTAAGTGTTAACAAAAAAATAAAAATAAAATAATAATAATAATTTTTTTTTATTAATTCCATGATAGAATTGAATAGTTATTCCTTAAGTTGGAGGAATGAATAGGCATTCCCACATTTTGTTGGAATATACATTCCAATGGAATGGCTATTCTCACTTAAAAAAGGAATACCAAATAAGGGAAAGTGAATGCAAAGCTGTAATGGGCATTTCATTGTAGTTCATTCCATCGTACCAAACGTGCTCTAAAACCTCTAATCCCTCAAGAAAAGAAACTCCAAGCTTTGATCCTTCAAGAGGTTAAGAAAAATCTAGAGTTGGAACTTCTTTTGCACTATTTTCGAAGAAAGAGGAGTGGGCGATCGGAGCTTTTTCTGACGAAACAAGATGGCCAACGGTGGTAGAGATGGTGGGTTGAGGTGGTGGAGTAAATGTGGAGTGTTTGGTCAACAAGAAAGTAAGGGAAAATGAGAGAAAGGTAGAGAGAAGTTAGAGAGAGAAGAATGAAGACAAAATGAAATAAAAATCTGTAATTTTTTGTTTTTTTTTTTGAGTTAAAAGGTGATGTTTGGTCACACCTACAATTAAGTTTGGAATTGAGTTTAGATATCCTAAGTGACTTTTAACTTAGGGGCGTGCTTGACTCTAGATAAATGTTGGGTATGTTATGGGTCCATTTGTTTTGGGTTATAGGAAATGAGATTGAATTATGATGTATGTGGGGTCTATTAATATTATATTTGTTTATAAAATGGGGAAGACGATTTATAATACCTTGAGACTATGATAGGTCTCCATAGATGTGTTAATAATTCCCCATGGGAGATGATATTAGAAAAACAATCCATTGGGATTAGAGAAAGATTACTATTTTGCCCTCTATTATCCTACCTAATTTACTTACTAGACTTAATTAGTATGGTCTTTTCTTTACTATTTTTTTTTAATTATTCTACTATTTTTTACCCCACCATTCTTAATATAAAAATATTATAGTATAATAATATTTATATCAAAAAAATTATATTAAAAAAATAAAATAGTACCAAAAAAATATATATTTATGAAATATAATTTTTAATATTAAATGTAATGCATTTATTAGTTAGTATAAGTCCAAATATGATAGTAATAAAACAAGAATATTTGTGAAATTTTATATGGTTAATTTCACTCCTATCTCTCAAAATAAACCGAAACTATTACTAATATACTAATTATACAAACACAATTTGGTTTGGTTTTGAGAAACAAATTTTGGAGAAATTTTTTTTAATTTTTTTTTTTGTTTTAGTGATTTTGGAAAAAAAAATTCAAAATCACTTCCTATCTTCTATACATCAATCAATTACTTTTTTTTTCTCTCCTCTCTCTTTCTCAATCACTATTGCTCACACACACATCTACTTAACTACAACAAAATATGAAATCATCCCAAACTCCTATATTCCAAAACTATTTTCAAAATATACAACCAAACAAACTAAATTTTTTTTTTAAACTCTTTCCTTCAATTTTTTTTTAAAAAAAAATTGTCTCCTAAAACCAAACTAAACCAAACAAAACCAAACAAGGCGATTGATAAATTTAGTCGCTTCACTAGCCATCCGTATATATATGTCCTCTTCTATTCATTATTACAATTGCAAGATCTGCAGATAGGTGAGCAAAAAGCTAAGGTGAGCTATTCTTCGCTTAAATTATTGTTGTTTCACCTCATCCTTCATTTAAACAAACCACTATAAACTTCTACATCAAAACTTTGATTGATAGTTATTGTTTCATTTCTCTTTCTTTATGGGGTGATCATGTTCTGTTTCAATTTGATAACTACACTATGCAAAAGCTGATAGTTTTCATTTTTTTATTGTTGAGGTTTGGTAAGACATTAAGCTATTGAAAGCTGAAGAAAATTGATTTGGAAATTCTTGTGAATCTTGTTGGTGACAAGGAATGATATTTAAAATCTCACATGGTGCCAAAATCTTGGGATCTTAGAGGTATCTCTTTTTATTTTGCGCACTTATTTATCTAAATTATGTGCTCTTTTCTGTGAATATTTTCGTAGATCTTCTTAGCATCAATACAGGATTAAAGCAAAGTGTTGTCTCCTTCATGATTTTTTCATGTTTCTGCAGAATTTTCTTTTCTGTACACCCTTCATCCAAAGTTGAATATCTCTATCTCACCATGACTCCGGATTGAATAAGATTGATGGTGTTGAAATCTTATCGTTCATATCTAGATCGGGTTATTCTCGACATTGTTTGAGAGGTAAAAATCTGCCTAAGTTCCCTTTTCTTTTTCAAATCAAGCTCTTTGAATCATAGATTTGGATATGAATTTAAAAAAAGAAAAAAAAGGAAAAAAAAGAAAAAGAAAATTGTGAGACAATTGTTAATAAAATATAAGTTTAATTTTTAAAATTTTTTTTTATTTCTCTTTTATTGTCAAATTTTTATTGAGATCTATATCCATAGACAGTGCTATTTCTTTGTTTGAAATTTGCATTCAATCAACAAAGCTATGTTTGTATGTTACATTCACGGTATGAATATGGATGGAGTTGTGTCCTGGGCCGAATAATAAATATATACTCAAAATTTTATTTGAAAATTTATTAGAAAATTTTCTTTCAAGTATTTGAATCCAAATTAATAAATAACATATTCTTGTATTTTAATAAGTCTTATTATTTAGATATTTGATTCATTAAATTTTAATTCTCATATTTAAGATATTTTTTTGAACAATTAGTGATATAAACATTTATATTTGACACGTGAATGTTCACATTGACACGTGAATATTCACATTGACAGGGTGAATATTACATTATAATCCGTTCACACTATCAATGTTAACATTAATGCGCATTACCCTATTATTATTAGAGGTATTTTAGTAATTATGTCACTTATAAGACTTAGTAGAATATAAAAAAATAATTTAAATTAAGTAAAATATAAGTAGTTAAAAAAGAATTTATAAATAAACACCTCAATTTTATTCAAAATTATTTTTTATTTTTTATTTTTATGCATGGACCTAAAAAACAGCTCTTGAATCTCCATCACAGGTTTAAAATATGGACAAATTTCTTATTAATTTTTTGGACTGTAAATTTTGTGGTCCTGGACCTCCTCAACTTAATCTTAAGATGATATACAAGTATTTGAAGACTAGATTACTATCTTTTTTTCCGATGTATCCAAAAAAAAAAAATAAAAAAATAAAAAAAATAATTTATCAAGTTTTGGAAGGCTACCATAAGCTCTATGTTTAGGATTCCAATTCATGTATATTATTTTTCAAAAATAAATAACAAACATAATTTAAAAATACATCATTAATTTTTTAAAGATAAATACATTAAAATTATGTAATTATATTTATCGAATCAATATAATTTTTTTAAGAACAATTTAAACGTATTTAAAAAAATATAATTTGAAAGGTAAATGACATTAAACCCCCTCATCTGACCTAGTTTTGAGCTGTCCCCTTAATGTTTAAAAGCTAACACTGGCAAAACTGTTAATAGAAATTATTAATTTACCTTTTTACCCTTCAATTAATTATATTGCTACCAGACTACCATTATATTCTTCAACAACAACCTAATTTCTTCCCAACCCTAATCAATTCAATTCAATCCCAAACCCTTAATTCCACAGTGTCTCCACAATTCCAATTAACAAACGCAACAAATTCATTTGACAAAGGGAGTAAAGTCAGCCACTGTGACTCACCACAACAATTCCATATTTTTGCTGGACCTAATGATCAACATAGGGAGTGAAGTTTGGGGGTGGCAATGGAGATAGTGGTGTTGTGTTGCAGGTAGAGATAAGGGTGTGTTTGTTTTGAAGGATTAGGAGGTGTAATTGGACTATTAGTCCCATCGGACTAATAGTCCATTGTTTGTTTCATTTTTTTTGCTCTGGACTAATAGTCCCCCCGGACTATTAGTCCCACAAATATGGGACTATCCTATCCCATGGGGGGTGGGATACAAACCATGGGATTGGTATCCCATGAATTATTTTGTGAAATGTCCATTTTACCATCCATACTATTACTTAGCAAACAATTAGAAAATGATAAAATAATCTTTTGAACATTTATAAATTATTTTTTTAGTGTTGTTAATTTAAAATTATATATTAAATAAAATTTTTTAATTATAAATTATAAATTAAATTTAATTAAAAATAATAAATTATAAATTATGGCCTTATAAATTAAATTTTTTTAGTGTTGTTGAAAATTTAATTTATATATTAAATAAATTTATTTTTTATTGTCATTAATTTAAAATTATATATTAAATAAAATATATAAATTATAAATTATAAATTTAATTTAGTTGAAAATAATAAATTAAAATAATTAAAATATTGTGCAAAAAATAAAATAAAACAAATTTTTATTTAATCTAGCTTAAAATAATTAAAATATTAAAGCTATGTTTAATATTGCTATTACTTAGTAAATAATTGAAAATGATAAAATAGTCATTTACGCATTTATCCTTCTCCATAATATCCCAAACAAATATTAGATAACTAAAAATAATCCAATCCAGACATCTAATCCCATGACTAAACAAAAATAGGATACAAATTTAGTCTAACCAAATAGTCCCGGGACAATATATCCCAAGACTAATAATCCGATGAATTATAATCTTCCCTTATCCAGTCCGTCTAAACAAACACACCTTAGGGTTTTGAACTCATTGAGGAGAGAGAGAGAGAGAGAGAGAGAGGTGAGGGTTGGCGGTGGCTACAACGGCTTACGGCGATGGCGACAATGGTGGTTGAAGACAATGACCCACCTCTCTTCATCTTACCCGCCACCATTCACCACCTCCTCTTTTGATTCCCACCAAGTCGAAACCCCCTCCCCACAGCCTCCCTCCCACTGATCAAACACCCTAATACACATTGAAAACCCTCAACACTAAAACCTCTATATCAATTCCATATATGTCCACTAAAATCCCTCCACCTAATCAACGTATCACCATCAAAACCCTCAATTCTTTTGTTGTGAAACTTTTTTATCAAATCATAGTAGCTTGGCTAATAAGGGTTCTCTAGTTGGTATTAGCCAGGAGAGTTTGGTTATGGCTTGGCATTTCTGGCCATAGAGAGTTGCTGGTTGTGTATATATATACAATGTGTGTATGTATAATAAGGCTATTTTAGTCATTAATTTTTAATTACATGTGATACATTTATGCCAATGACTACCAGTTTGATGACAGAAGAGGTTTAGAGTTACGAAACAAAACTATAGAAGGGTTGAATTTTAAACATGGAGGGATAACTTGAAAATGGAGTTTTTTTATTTTTATTTTTATTTTTAATTTTAAATATTCTAAAAAAACAACTTAATTAGAGAATTAACTCACTTTTCAAACTATTTAAGAAATTAACTTATTTTTTGAAATTGTATTTTGAAAATGTGATTTTAAAATTGAAATTGCATCTTTAACATGCAATTTCACTTTAAAATTGCCAATTGAAAATGTAATTTCAATTTCAAAATCACATTTTCAAAATGCGATCTTAAAAACAGGTTAGTTTCTCAAATAATTTAAAAAATGGGTTAATTCTCTAATTTGTTTTTTGTTTTAGAATATTTCAAAAAAAACTCTTTAAAAATGGGTCATAATTAAGAGGGATTTACTATAATTTATCCTAATTTGAATCAATGAAACTAAGTTTAAGGTGGACCCACGGACCAAAAGTTCGACGGTCTAATCCTATAAGCCTTTAGCTGACTGGAGACATGCCAAGGGATATGTTCAGAAGCATATTTTGAACATTTATTTATATCTTATACTAGCGGTAACCCGTGTAATGCACGTAAAAATAGATTATATATATTTTGTGTGATAAATAAATCATTTTAATATTAAATTATATCTTAATAGTGATAAGCCATAATATTAAGCCATCTAGGTAGATGTTAACAATAATTAACCCACAAAATTTTACAATAAAATTTGATATGCATAAGAAATTATTAATTATAAAAATTGTTGAGAATAATAGTATCACAATCACTTGATAACATAAATAACTTGTATCAAACTAAACAAAACATTAAAAGAGAGAAATTCTATAAGCTTAGAAAAGTTATCATAAATTTACTTGGACTTTTAAATCAGTGGTGTATATTATTATTGTGAGATCAAATTATGAATAAATATCAACTTTTAATTATAATTTATAAGTAGTTTTTAAAAAATTTTAATCTAAATTTGTTGCCTTGCTTATAAAAAGAACTTCTCAAACAAATCATTAATTGATTATATTAGCAACTCTCTATCTTTGATTTAATCTATCAATGACACACTCATATCATATCAAAGTATAAATCATTCTACATAGTTTGAATAATACTTGCATAGTTTCTACGTCATTTTAAAAAAATTAATCAAGATAAGAATGTCATAGTATTATAAAAATTATATAAGAGAATAGTTTTAATCCATTTTATTTATAAAAAAATGATAAAAAATTATTTGAATTGTACTTGAAAAAATATAACAAATGATAGCTTTAATCATTATATACCCAAAAAAAAAAAAAAATTATATCGGTTACTCAACGAAAAAATGGTCGAATACAAATAGAGTCATGAGCATTGAATCAAATCATATGGGCTCTAAATTGATAGTATAATCTAGCAAATCAACTAATAACAACATAGAGATATTGACAAATATGTAGTACTTCCCCATCATCTTTGTATTATATTCATTAATTTCTTATATTATATGAAAGTTTTATTCGTCTCGATCCTTCAATAAAATAAGGATGAAGAAAACAAATTTGATAAGAAATTGATTACAAACTCAATTATTGAAAAAACAAAAATTTCAAAGAGAGAATTTAAAGATGGGATTGAAGAAATACTATAACGAATGACAACCTAATAAAAAATTTAAAAAAAAAAACATAACAATGATCTAATGCAAATTATTTTTAATAACTAATAGAAAGAATCTCAAACTATTACCTTTTATAAATATAGTGAAAAAAATTAATTTTGTGAGATTTTTGTGCTACATTCTCCCATGTAGCCTTTATTATTTCATTATTAATACTATTCTCATTCAGAGCGATAATTTTTTTTTTTTTTATAATCTTTATCATTTGGTAGATAATAACGAATAATAAAAATTATCAAGAGAAGGTTAAGAATTTAATAGAAGATAAGAAGTTATAGATAAAAGCATTTCATAAGATAAAAAATTT